ACTAACGGCCGTTCACACAGCGTGAGGAACTATCGATCAGCGTGAACACGCGACGACCACTCACACAGTGTGGGAAATTATCGATCAGTGAGCAGACGTGACGACCGCTTACACAGTGTAGAAAACTATCGATCAGCACGTGCACGTGACGACGGCTTACACAGTGTGGCAAAGTATCGATCAGCGTGCAGGCCAGAACACCGGTCGCACGCCGTAGGACAGGAATTTTCCTGAAAGGCCAAAACCTAATGAATATACTGAAGTGGACAAGCCGAAGGATCCGCTGTTTCTTGTGGGCTTGAATAAAGTCCTCACTATCAGAACCGCCTGTTTGCATTCGTCTGCCTACTAGTCGGATTATAACAGATATAAATAAACGAGAAACTGAATGAGCATATATGACTTCACAAAGTTCTGTTCCCAGATATCACAAGAAAAACTGTCAAGTGTTGACAGAAGAGACGGAGATTTGTGAAGCACACGGCATTTCAGAAAGCGAGAAAGCTTACTTATTGGGTCGGAGTGGACAGGCTTTCTGCGCGGCGGCAATATTGTTTTTAAGAATTTCCATCCGTGTGGCGAATTTTCTGGCGGCCTCAATCCTCGCCTCTAGCTCGGCAGCGCTTAGTTCGGCTTGCCGCTGTAGACGGCTGCACAAAGCCATCAGATCGGAAGCAGTTTTGTCAAGCTGTGCTGTTGAACCATCCTTAAGATTTGCGATGTCTGCATTCCATGAATTGAGTTTATTTTCCAACTCAGTCAGCTGAAAAGTAGTTGACATGAAAAAAAACATTGTGAAATGCAATTTGCGATAACGCAGGCAAGCAGACGGCAACGGTGGTGACAGGGGCGGGGGAGAGGGGGGGGGGAGGTGCATGAGAGAAAAAAAAGAGGAGCGAAAGAGAGGGCAATGAGCTTTACGCCCACCTACTACAAACGAATTAGCATCAGCCACGCAGACTAACCTGGTTTCTGACCTGGCCAATGTCCTCCAAGCGGTCAGTCAGACTGTCCGGATCCACAATTGTCTGCGTTGAGCCCAAGAGGGCTAACTGGTTCTCCACACCCTCGAGTTCCTGTCTGAGGAGGGAGCCACGCGTGTTAAGACTGCTTACAGCTG